CCTTTTTGCCATTGCATGCCAGGGTGGAGGGGGAGGAGGGGAGGGGGAGTCTCGTGCGTGCGTGCCCACACCCATAATTCTATGCGCCGCGCCCCCACGCATGTGCGTGACAGAGGGCAGAGGTTTTTTTTTCTTTTAAAAGCCTCTGACGATCCCAGCTGAGTTGCCTGGGCGGCAGATTTAAAAGAAAAAAAGCCTCTGCTGATCAGACAACTCAGCTGGGATCGTCAGAGCCTTTTAAAAGCATTTTTTTACAACCTCTTCACCGAAGACGTTGTAGAAAATGGTTTTAAAAGTTAAAAAAAAAAAAGTTGGCCCATCCAGTCACATTATCCCACCACCACCAAGCCATGCCCACAGAACCGATAGTAACAAATTTTAGATTTCACCACTGCTCCAGAGCCTCTCTAGGAGTCTGGGGAGCACGAAAACGGCCTTCCCCACCACCCCCGGAGGCCCTCCAGAGGCCAGAAATGGCCCATTTGCCAGCTTCCGGTGTGCCCATTGATATGGCTACGCATGCCATCTGTGACATGCGTGCCATAGGTTCACTATCATGGCTATAGGCTATCTTCCAGATCTTTATGTACATGTATTTCAGTTCACTGTGACATGATTATCCAAGGCATGTTGTAAAACGGATGGCTTTTTACCTCTTAATAATCAAGCACTCTGATCAATCAGCATTACAACTTTTCAGATTGTGTAAAATCTGGAAGTCACGGAGTCAGAAGAGCAGGAATTCATTTCTAGAGGAAGAAGTTTTTGGGCTCAAGGATTTCCAGGTCTTATCTCCTTCCGCTTTGGGAAATGACATAATTTCAATATCTTAAGTTCACTGAAAGGCCTTGTGACGTGATCAGCAATCCTCAGCAAGGATGGAAGGGGGAGTGCATGGGTGTTAGTGTGAGGCAAAGCAAAGTACACTGAGTTACCCAAATGGTTCTTGGAAAAAATAAACCATCTTTCATATGATCAGCTAAACTCTGCACTGCAACCCGGAGACTCTCCGGGACTTGTCGAGTGATCAGGGTCTGCAGAAAAAGGCAGAGTCGGTCCTTTTACAAGGCTCAGCAAGTGGATCACATCACACAGCCTATCTGCGGTGTCAGAAGGAACAAATTGTCCTATATTTTGTTCTTATTGCCAGACAGAAGGTGAGATTTCTGTGCAATTTTCTGCAATGTGCATCAAGTAAAGCGGCAAAATGTAATTATTTTGCCACTCTTATTGCGTCACCAGATAATCGCCCGGCCGCCCTGTTTAGGTGACCCGCTCCTCGCTCGGAGCGCGGGAGGACCCCTTGGAGGGTAGAGCCAAGGATTTTGTACAGTATCTGCATGACAAAATCACTCAGATTTGGGAAGACCTGGACTCCGACTGTGTAGATTCAGGGGGGATGGTGGAGGCAGGTCTTGAGAATATTATCTGGGAAGAGTTTGACTCTGTGACTCCCGATGATGTGGACAGGATTCTGGGTAGACTGGATGGGGAGAATCAGACTCAGGCTCAACCCATCCAAGATTGAGTGGCTGTGGTTTCCGGCGTCCCGATATAGTCAGTTGGTGCCATCACTGACTATTGGGGGCGGGTCATTGGCCCCCACGGAGAGGGCTCGCAACTTGGGTGTCCTCCTGGATTCACGGCTGTCTTTAGAAGAGCACTTGACGGCTGTGACCGGGAGGACTTTTCATCAGGTTTGCCTGATCTGCCAATTGTGTCCCTTTCTAGATCGGAACTCCTTACGCACGGTCACTCATGCCCTCATCACTTCCCGCCTGGACTACTGTAATGCTCTCTACATGGGGCTCCCCTTGAGGAGCACCCAGAGGCTCCAACTGGTGCAGAGTGCGGCCGCACGGGTGGTTATGGGAGCGCTCCCATGTAATCCCTCTCCTGCGCGAGCTGCACTGGCTCCCGGTGGTCTTCCGGGTGCGCTTCAAGGTCTTGGTTACCACCTTTAGAGCGCTCTATGGCTTAGGACCTGGATATCTACGGGACCGCCTGCTGCCACCAGTAGCCTCTCACCGGCCAGTACGCTCTCATAGAGAGGGGCTCCTCCAGATGCCGTCAGCCAAACAGTGTCGACTGGCGGCCCCCAGGGGGAGACCCTTTTCTGTGGGGGCACCTACTATTTGGAATGAGCTCCCCCCGGAGATACGGTGGATCCCGGATCTATGCACCTTCCACCGCGCCCTCAAGACTTTCTTATTTCAACAGGCCGGCCTGGCCTAACTTCTCCCTTTTAACTTTTTAAATTGTACATTTTAAATCTGTCTTAGGTATTGGGGATGTTTTAATTTGTTCCGGGCCAAATTTATTTAATGTGGTTTTATATTGTTCTTTTAAATTTTGTAATCTATGTGTTTTATTTTTTGGCTGTTCACTGCCCTGAGTCCTTCGGGAGTAGGGCTGTATATAAATTTAATAAAATAAATAAATAAAAATAAAGTAACCAACACTGTTTTTTTTCAGCACTCTTTACCAGACTGTTTGCACTTGGGAAATGGTTCAGAAGGAAGGAGGAGCACAGGATCTCTTTGCAATTCATTAAACTTTGCAATTCGTTGATTTATTTCAAATTTCTGCACAACCCTGAAAAAAATGGGACTGTTCAAAGAGTCGCCTAAACTTTAAAGATTAGTGTCTCAAGAGTATACGAATGTCTTACATCAGGAGTGTCAAACTCAAGGCCCGGAGGCCGGATTCAGCCCACAGGGTGCTTAGATCTGGCCCACAAGGCCCTGGAAACAGCAAAGGACCGGCCTTCGGAGCCTCTGCCAGCGAAAACGTAACTCCGTGTTCGCTGGCAGAGGGCTGCAGGAGGCCGTTGTACAGAGGTGGGTTTCAGCAGGTTCTGACCAGTTCTGGAGAACCGGTAGTGGAAATTTTGAGTAGTTCGGAGAACTGGTAGTAAAAATTCTGACTGGCCCACCCCCATCTATTCTCTCCCTCCCAAGTCCCAGCTGATCAGGAGGAAATGGAGATTTTGCAGTAATCTTCCCCTGGAGTGGGGTGGGAATGGAGATTTTACAGTATCCTTCTCCTGGAGTGGGGTGGGAATGGAGATTTTACAGTATCCTTCTCCTGGAGTGGGGTGGGAATGGAGATTTTACAGTATCCTTCCCCTGCCATGCCCACCAAGCCACACCCACAGAACCGGTAGTAAAAATTTTTGAAACCCACCACTGCCGTTGCAGCCAAAAACGGAGTCCGTTTTTGCTGGCAGAGCGCTTGGGCCCCCAAAGCCCCCCCTGACACAAGTGAAATCAAGCTGGCCACGCCCATCCTGACCCCCCCCCCCGAGGTCAAACACAACCCTGATGTGGCCTCAATGAAATGGAGTTTGACACCCCTGTCTTAGGATGATTGTTTAGTGATTTAGTGATCCTCGATTTATGACCATTTGTTCAAAGTTACAACAGCACTGAAAAAGGTGACTTATGACCGGTCCTCACACTTGCAACTGTTGCACCTTCCCTGTGGTGACTATGAATCAGGCACTTGGCAATCATAGTGCAATTGTAACCGTTGCAGCATCCCATAATCACATATCTCACTTAACAAACAACCTCACCATTTAACAAATTTTCTGGACCCAGTTGTGATTGCAAATCAAGGATTACCTGTACCCAGAGCAAAAAGTGTTTCAATGTTAAAACAACAACAACAAAAACTCCTCTAAACTCTGCTGAAGATATTACCTAGAATGATAACAAAACATTCGTAAACCAACCCACAAGCTCGGAGAAGGAACCATCACCCTCATCCTACACCCGAGCTACAGAGATTTGTCAGTATTGCAAAGATTGCTATCTTTTCTACCAAGACAGACAAAGATACAGAAGAAAAACTGATAAGATTTGACCAAAACTTCACCACGGAATATTATCCTGTTGCTCACTTTACCATCTTTCATTAGCATTAGAACGGGGGTGTCAAACTCAAGGCCCGTGGGGTGCTTAGATCTGGCCCGCGGGGCTGCCCTGGAAACAGCGATGGACTGGCCCTCAGTGCCTCTGCCAGTGAAAACGGAGCTGGGGAGGGCTTTGTGCAGCCCTCTTGAGCTCCGTTTTCGCTGACAAAGGGTTGCAGTAGGCCATCGCAGCCGAAAACAGAGCCTGTGAATGTCAGATAATTATCTAAAACAGTGCCACTGAACCACACTGTCTATCCTGGAAGGATGGTTTTTTGTTTATACTTTCCCTCCATTTTGTCTAAGGGATTGAAGGGCGAGTGGCTTAGCCACTCTATAAATATGACCCCCTTTACCCACACACACTCGGGAGACACATGGAAGGCACATAGGAGACACACAGGAGAAGGGATGATGCTCTAGGCACATTTACCTCAGAAATAAATAAAGACCAAGATACAATGTTCTGTGATTTAAAATGTAAATAGTTTCTTGATTTTAAATAAACAAAGTTTTTCTTGATAAAAGGAAATCTGGCTTAATTGTAGCTGCTGGGACATTCCAAGATCTTATTGACCCCTACAACCTAAAGTAAAAACTTTTATAACAGTGAAGGCTGTGGGCGCCACTCCCAAGCTCCGTTTTCACTGGCAGAGGGTTGCAGGAGGCCATCGCACCCGAAAATGGAGCTCATGAGGGCCACAGGCGGCACTCCCAACTCCGTTTTCACTGGCAGACGGTTGCAGGAGGCTATCACAGCCGAAATGGAGCTTGGGAGCCGGTTTTTGCTGCCAGAGCGCTCGGGCTGCCACAGGCGCCCCTGACAGAAGTGACGTTGAACTGGCCATGCCCACCTTGGCCCCCCAAGGTCAAACACAACCTGATGCAGCCCTCAATGAAATCAAATTTGACACCCCTGCATTAGATGGAGGTGAGCAAGTGGCACAGATATTAGAAAAATTTACAGAGTGATGTAGTAGAGTGTTATACTTCTTAAATTTAGACATTTATATATCTGATCGAATAAAGTTTCTTTCCTAGTATGTTCCTTCATTCATTTATTCAATATACAGTACATAGTCACCTGCTTTATTCTGGTGGGTAACTTTGATTTTGGGAATTGCAGGGAGCCTTCCAGTGGCTCTGTGGTCTTCGGAGGGGGTGGGGCTGAAATTTTGGCTCTGGAAATCCGGAGACAAGAGTTTGGAGTGAGGAATAAAAGAAAAAGAACATTAAGATTTGCCCTTTTTAAACCTGTTCGCCAGTGCAATGATTTATATAGAAAATAATTAATGAATGGATTAAGTAGAGGCTTAAGCAGCTAATGCTTTGGTCTGGATTTTCTCACTGAGCTGGGCTCCTGACCAACCAAACAGGATTCACCAATCCACACTATAAACCATTTCTACTTTTCCAACATCAATCCTGAAATAACACACAAGGTTGCCAAGTTTGCATCACAGCGGCACACAAAATCAGGCAAAGAATAATTAAGAGCAACTACACCTGCCTGAATATGGACAGGCAGCAATGCCTTTGGCTCAGCATTAACCACTGGTTCTCTTTTACCTTTTTTTTTATGAGTTGATGTGTATATGCCATGTCAGGTATTGTACTATATTTTTTTCAGGTTTGACGGGCTGTGTAAGAAAAGTTTATAATTGGGTTTTTTTTCTATCAACTTTTTTATAATTGTATTTTGTGTTGCTTGTTTAATATTTATTCTACCTGGATTAGTAACTTTAACGTCTTTTCTTTTTTGTCACATGTGTGTAGCCTGAACAAGCTTCTTAGCATTTTGTTATCTTTTAGCCAAAATTCTTCGTTCGCATGTACCTTTCCTACTTATCCTGATATTGCCAATTTAATTTTGGAGATTTGAACACCAATTCCCTTGTAATGAACACAATAATGTTATTTTTTTCTCTCCCACTGAGTAGGAATTAGCTTCCATGGTTAGGATTAGATGATGGCTGGACAGACGGACAGATGGATCAGAGGTGGTATTCAGCAGGTTCTGACCAGTTCTGGAGAACCGGTAGCGGAAATTTTGAGTAATTCAGAAAACCGGTAAATACCACTCTCTGGCCCAGCCCCCATCTATTCTCTGCCTTCCGAGTCCCAGCTGATCAGGAGGGAATGGAGATTTTACAGTATCTTTCCCCTGCTACGCCCACCAAGCCACGCCACGCCCACAGAACCGGTTGTAAAAAACTTTGAATCCAACCACTTAGATGGATGGATGAATTCTTTAGATAGTAGATAGGCAGATGGATGGGTAAAGATAAATCAATAAATGAGTGGGTGGGTGGTGAATGGATGGATGGTTGAATAGATAGAGGGAGGGAGGGGAGAAGGAAGGAAGCAGGGGCATCTACAATTTCTGGGGGGAAAAGTCAAAATGAGGTTAAAACAGTCACACATAAAAAATGGGCAGAACTTTGATTTGTTGTAGCTGCCGTCTTTTCACCACTTCCTGAGGACATCCCTGATTGACAAATGGACCAGTGGTGTGTTTCAAATTTTTTTTACCTGTTCTGTGGGTGTGGCTTAGTGGGTGTGGCATGGCTTGGTAGGCATGGCTTGGTGGGCGTAGCAGGGGAAGGATACTGTAAAATCTCCATTCCCACCCCACTCCAGGGGAAGAATACTGTAAAATCTCCATTCCCTCCCCAATCCAGGGGAAGAATACTGTAAAATCTCCATTCCCTCCCCACTCCAGGGGAAGGTTACTGCAAAATCCCCATTTCCTGCCAATCAGCTGGGACTTGGGAGGCAGAGAATAGATGGGGGCAGGGCCAGTCAGAATTTTTACTACCGGTTCTCCGAACTACTCAAAATTTCCGCTACCGGTTCTCCAGAACTGGTCAGAACTTGCTGAAGCCCACCTCTGAAATGGACTCATTAGAAACTGCATTGCTAAAAAAAAAAAAAATTGACAGCAGGCTCTTGGCAGACTTAGGAAGCTCTTAAAAAGGGACAAAAAGCCACACCAACCTGGCAGGTTGCACATCCTTGTATAATTGTAGCATTTCTTTACTGATGAAGTGTTGAGCTAGCTCAGGGGTCTCCAAGCTTTGCTGGCTGAGGAATTCTGGGAGTTGAAGTCCACAAGTCTTAAAGTTGCCAAGGTTGGAGACCCCTGAGCTAAATGATTCTCTGTCCTTAAAAAAAAACCAACTAACATTATGGCTCTATGATTATTTGCTTCAAAGGGAGTCAGTCATGCTAAGCACAAAGAAGCAATGCAATGAGATAGCCTAAAAAATGATCGAGAATAATTTGGAGCCAAGCATGATCCAGAGAGAAACTTCCCCAAACATCTGAAAACAGCAATAGCTCCCCCCATCTTTCTCTCTCACACACACACACATTTTTCTGAGAGCAACTTGTTTGCATTAACAGCATTTATTTCCTATTTTACAGTTTTCTTGATTTGGCATGTTTTGAAAACAAAATTGTGATTGATTCAGTATTGTGGGTTCATGATGTCCTTCGAATGTATTCCGCAAACAGCAAGCCACAGATGAATCTGGACCCTCTTATCATTTTCCCAGCCCTGGGAATGTATTGTTCCTAATTCCTGCCTGCCCTCCATCTTCTAAATCTCTCCCCTTTTCACAACACAATGTGTCCCCTAACTTGTGGGTGTCCCCAAAATCAGGTCTGGCTAAAACTTGACCAAGGCTGATGGATTGTTGGTTTGTTTTAATACAAATGAAATGTTTATATCCAGACTGAAAGGCATTACCAAATATTTGGAGATTCAAAGATTGTGCAAACGGAGGGAAAGTTTTGTCTTTTGGTAGCCAAAGTGGGGGGAAATAGGGGGAAATATGCCTTGTTGGTGGTAAAAAGAGTCAAATCTGATGTTGATAGAGGGCAGAAAGGGAAAATGGTGTATGGGACTGCAATGGCCATTTTCCCAAGGCACTGCTGGTTATGATGGACGTTGTAATCCAGCATAGCTTTGGGCTTCCTGTTGGAAAAAGCTACGTTGAATGATATTATAGAGGAATTCAGCCCTTTCACAGCACCTTTTATTTGCTCCATATCAAAAATCTCACTCGTTTTGTCTGGAAAGTCAAAAACATTTCCATCTTTTTAAATTAATAAGTTTTAAATTTCGGGCAAATTTATTTAATTATTTTAAATCTATTTTTAACTTTATGTATAAATGTTTTTTATCTTGGCTGTTCATCACCCTGAGTCCGAAAGGAGAAGGGCGGTATAGAAGTTTTAATCATCATCATCATCATCATCATCATCATCATCATCATCATCATCATTTTCTATGTTTTCTTGTCTTTATCCGTCTGTTTTTTTCCTCACACACAAAAAAGAACATGGAGGGGTTAAACATGAGGCAATGGATAAATCAAGGAAAATACAAATACATTATTTATTTTTATCCCTTTATTATTTTTTATGAGTAACTCAAGACAGCTAACATACCTAATACTCCTTCCTCTTCCTACTTTCCCACAACACCAACCCTGTGAGGTAGGTTTGGCTGAGATTGTGACTTGCCCCAAGTCACTCAGGTGGCCCGAGGCAGGATTAGAATTCATAGTTTCCTGGTTTCTAGCCTGGTGCCTTCAGCATTAGACCAGACCTGGGCATTTTATAGCCCATGAGTCACAACTGGCACTTTGGCAGTCTCTGTATGACCCCTGTGAGGTCAATTGGAAATTAGAAATCAAATATAAATAAGTATGCACCAGTCACGCAATACAAGTGCGTTGCTTTTATTTTGAAGGCGAATGCTATTCTTTTTTTTCAATTTACATATGTATCTGCGTGTGCTCCTACGCACCTTCACAGCCCTATCGGTTCGGCCCACCACAACAGTCCCAGTTTCTCATGTGACATCTTTGGGAAAATGAATTGCCCACCCCTGCACTAGACCAAAGTGGCTCTCCCAGATTTGTTTCAGAAAGGGCTGAATCATTCTGCTGCTTTATAACGAGCGCATGGCCACTCAATGTCACTCGTGTTGGGGGCGCCTGTGGTGGCCCAAGTGCTTTGCCAGCAAGAACGGGTTCCCGAGCTCCATTTTTGGCTGCGACGGCCTCCTGCAACTCTCTGCCAGTGAGAACGGAGTTGGGAGTGCCACCTGCGGCCCTCATGAGCTCCATTTTCAGGTGCGATGGCCTCCTGCAACCCTTTGTCAGCAAAAACGGAGCTCGGGAGGGCCACACACAGCCCTCTCCAGCTCCGTTTTCACTGGCAGTGGCACTGCGGGCCAGTCCATCGCTGTTTCCAGGGCAGCAGCGCAGGCCAGATCTAAACACCTCACGGGCCTTGAGTTTGACACCCCTGTTCTAATGTTAATGAAAAATGGTAAAGTGAGCAACAGGATAATATTCCGTGGTGACGTTTTGGTCAAATCTTATCAGTATCTTTGTCTGTCTTGATAGAAAAAACAGCAATCTTTGCAATACTGACTAATCTCTGTAGCTCGGGTGTAGGATGAGGCTGATGCTTCGTTCTCCGAGCTTGTGGGTTGGTTTACGAATGTTTTGTTATTAGGCTAGGTAACATCTTCAGCAGAGTTTAGGGGGTTTTTGTTGTTGTTGTTGTTTTAACACTGAAACACTTTTTGCTCTGGATACAGGTAATCCTTGATTTGCAATCACAACTGGGTCCAGAAAATTTGTTAAATGGTGAGGTTGTTTGTTAAGTGAGACATGCTGCCCGCGGCCCTCCCGAGCTTCATTTTTGCTGGCAGAGGCACCGCTGGCCGATCCTTCACTGTTTCCAGGGCAGTCCCACGAGCCAGATCTAAGCATCCCATGGGCCGGGCCTTGAGTTCGACACCCCTGATCTATAATTTTAATTTTTAAAAAGCCAAGAACACCTACCATCAGTCAAATTGTGTTCACATTGGAGAATGGGTATGTCAGATGTAAATGCCTTATTCTCCAATGTGTAAATAATGTATATATGGAACATCAGAGGTTAACTTATTCTTTGGACTTTAATGTATTCATAACTTACCACTCCCATTCCTAGCTCCACCCTTGTATATATAAGGAGCCACCCTCACCATTCTCGTCGCTTCTACCTTGAATATTCAGTGAATATAGAATGCCTATCATAATTAAAAAGAAATATATTTAAAGCTTTAACTTCTATTATCTTTATTGAGTCTGATCCTGGAAATATTGCAACAAGCTGG